GAAAACTAACACGCCTTGCCTGGCTATTTACTTACAAGTTTGAAATAGGAGAGACTTGTTTAGAAAGATGTGGAGAACCTGGATTGATGTCTGGTCCCTCTCAGTCCCGAGAACGAACCCACTCCCAAACAAAAAACACAAACAAAAGCCTCCCCCCCCCCAGATTTGAAAGTATCTTGTCCCCTTATTGGTCCTTTAGGTCAGATGCCAGCCAGGTTACCTGAGCTTCTTAACCCTTTACAGGGAAAAGGATTTTGGAGTCTCTGGCCAGGAGGGATTTTATAGTACTGTACACAGGACAGCTGTTACCCTTCCCTTTATAGTTATGACACAGAGTCACTCTGGTTTCATGTCCCAGCCTGATTTTACAGGGGAGGGAATGGCTGCACAGGACTGGGGCTGGCAAATGGGATTATATGAACTACAGGGCTCTCTCAAAGCTTCAGTGGTACCTGGCAATATCTGGAGAAAGATTTTCCTGCTGGTTCTATAGGCAGCAGTGTTAGTGAGTAAGACAGACATTCCGGAGACTATTTTGAGCTGGTAATCTTACTCTAGCCCAGTAATAATGTGTGCCACAAGCACTCAGCAGAACATTGTAATACCAGCCAGTCCATATGGGTTTAATTTAATCAGAGAGACATCAAATCGAAGGCCCTGACTAAGCAAAGCACTTAAGTGTGGGCTTAACCTTCGATCTGAATTTAAATGCTTTGCTGAATTGCGGACTAAATGCCTTCACTCAGTCCCTGGGGAAGAAGGAGTTTGCCAATGGTTTGATTTGCCGATGGAAATTTCCTGGACATTTTCACGCCCATACTAGAAGTAAGTACAAATTTCCAAACTTTTCAAAGTGCGGCCATCCCTCCTCCCGCTGGTGAACGCCCACCGCCCTTCCCAGCTGGTGGCTCCTACCATCCTGTGGCAACCACAGTAATTGTTTACAAAGAAAAATAGCCAATGTCTTTTTATCTGGCTTGATGCACTTTAGCAACCGGAAATAAACAGGAGAATGAGCATCATGGTCAACCAGAGCACAGTGTGAGAACCCCTGCTCTAAGATCTGTCTCACACAGGGCCAGGTTCTACCCCAGGCAGGGTATGCCCAGCTAAGAGAAAGGAAACTGAGAACCCACAGTCCACCCAGGCAAGAGTTAACTCACGTGTTTGCCTGACACACTCTTGCAGCAAAGTGTTGCTGGGGGGACTGGCTGTGCATGTAAAGATTTGCAGGATTAGGGTCTACAAGGCAAATCTGTGGAAGGGTGGGCACCCCCCCTTCAGTAGCAGGACTGGCACCCCCCACACATTAAAAAGTAACAGTTATAAAAATCTCATTTAACAGCATTTTTGCCCTTTTCCTGGCCCAGCCCCCAGCCCGTTCCCTTGTTTTTAAATCCTCCCCTAGTTGCATTTCATGCTGTTGTAAACTCTAGTCCTTTCCTGGCTGTTCATTCGAAATGTGGAAGAGTTACACTGCTGGCAATGTCCCAGCCCTTCCTTGCAGGGGGCACCCCAGCACATTGTGCCCAGTCCATGCTGGCTGTGCATCAGCTCCAGGAGCACCACGGACATGGCCAGGCCATGGGGCAGCGGGAGGCTCCAGCTTTGTAAAGCCCCACTTTGGAGGAGGAACGGCTCTACACTGCCTCTCAATCCTGCCTTGCTCCATAGAGAGGCTGATCCTGCAGACTGATGGAAAATCCACCCTCACCTGTGAAGGAAGCAGAGGTGGAGCAAAATCCTGGCCCCACTGCAGTCAATGGCAAAGCTCCCATTGGCTTCAGTGGAGCCAGCACCTCACTGATGACCTGCACAGAGGCGGAACAGAGTTGGCCTCTCCAGCACCCAGGCTCCTTTCCAGTGTCCCAGGCTGAGGTTTCTCATCCTGATGACTCAAGTGTGCTGTTTTCCCACTTTCCCAAACCATGCCAGCCTCAGCCAGGACAGACTCATTCCTCTCTTCCAGAGAACGCGTTGCTAATGACAGCCAGCCCGCGGGGGGCCGGTGACTAGCTGGGGCTGCCTGGCGTTCAGAAGGTCACACCAGCAGGCTGGCTCCCCGCCTTCCAAAATGTGAAAAAGAAAATAAATGACATTTACTCTCCAGAGGGAAACGGCAACGTACCAAACGAGGGGAAGGTGCCCGTCAGATGCCGTGGGGGGAGGGGCTGGGAAGAGACTCATGCACTTGGGAGCCCATGTCTCATTGAGCCTTAGGCTCCTATGTCACTGATGCCCTGATCCACAAAGGGACCTTGGCATGGCGACTCTCAGCATCACCACACCTAACTAGGTGCCCAGAAAATCACAGGTACAACACTGGCATCCACACAGCCCGAGCTTGGCACCAGGGGCAGCTCTATGTATTTTGCCACCCCAAGCACGGCAGTCAGGCAGCCTTCGGCGGGAGGTCCGCCAGTCCCGCACCATCGGTGCCCCTGCCGCCAAATTGCCGCTGAAACCGCAGGACCGGCGGACCTCCTGCAGGCATGCTGCCGAAGGCAGCCTGACTGCTGCCCCCACAGCGACCGGCAGGCCGCCCCCCGCGGCTTGCCACCCCAGGCATGCGCTTGGAGCGCTGGTGCCTGGAGCCGCCCCTGCTTGGCGCCCAGGTTCCTTGAATAATAAATGGGAGGAGATGGGCACTTAAGCATGGGCTCCAACAAAGCCAGAGTGATAGGCGGAGAGCTGCCTAAGCTAGCCAATGGGAGGTGGAGATGCGAGGGGTGTGTGCTAAGCTCCATCCCTCTTTAGGAGGGTGGGGCCTCAATCCAATTGTGGTTCTGGGCTTTAGGCACTTTTGAGACTTGTACCCCTTATATCATTCCCCATCTGCGAGGCTGGTCATTGGTTTGGAAGAAAGAGTCATGCTGGATGAGTCAAGATGTGCTGCAAACAGCAGTGAGGACAGAAAAATGATGCCAAGTGACCGAGAAAGCATAGAGCGGTGATACTCAGACTGTGGCTCGGGACCTACGAGTGGCTCTTCAATGCATCTCCTGCGGCTCTTTACAGCCCATGATATTAAAACACTGTGGGATTTAATTAGTAACCAATCTAAGTTATTAACCAATCAGGATGTTTTTACTATGTTATTAACCAATTGTAGTTGATAAAATAATAATAGTTGGTCAGTCATTTTGCTGTGAGAATTATATATAAAAACTAAAGGTTTCCCCGTCATACTGTTTGAATATGAATATATAGTGCTACAGAAAATGAAACCATGAATTCACACTCCTGTGGCTCTTTTGGGTAATTCTCATAGCTAATTTCCCCTGAGGTCTGAATATCTCTGGCTTAGACAGATGAACAGGGAATATCATCAGGAGAGTCCACCTGGGAAAATGCCAGCTAATCCAGCCAGGGATGCTAGCCAAAGCCAGAGCTTCGCGGTGTATTTTGTGTGGCTTTTATCAGAGTTCACAGAGCTTCTCAAACCTAAAGGCTCAGTCAATACCCCTGGAAACTATCATTAGAGCCATTTCCTAGAGGTAAACTGAGGCACTGACAGGTTAGATTTTGAGATTAGACGTTTGCCTGAGTTTAGAGAGGTTCTTGGGAGGAGCCAGGAATAGAAGCTATGGGCCAAAATCTGACCTGGTTTGAGCAGGTGTGATTCCACTGACAGCACTGGAATTACACCCAAGAGTTAAGCCAAGTTACGCAACTTCTGCCTTGTGACTGAGCTCTTGTTTGTCTTTTACTATTTGTCTGCCTTGTATGTGCAGAGGACAAGCTCCCAAAGGCAAGACACACACGATGCAGGGCCTCATCTGGGGTAAACAGGCATGAAAAAAGCACTGACAATTAACACCAGCCAAGGATCTGCCTCTCTGCATGCCTGACGCAACAGGGCCTGGCCACTGCCTTGGGTGTTTGCACACTGCTACAATACACATAGGACCAATAGGGCAGTTCCCTTTTGCCTGCCTCTCTATAGTTTATATCAGAGTGGAGTCACTTTTTTTGGAGGACACATCTCCACAGTGTAAATGCTTTGGGGCCCTGGGAGGATTTTCAGAAACACTCAGCATTGGTGTAACTCTGTTCCCACTGGAGTTGCCTTTTGAAAAGCCCTCCTCTCTCTCCCCGGGTATGTAGGTGTCTGTAAAGCAGGGGGGCGCCCCACAAGTCGTACAGCGATCGGATACAGAGAGAGACAGCAGGGGACTGCTGCTGGGGTGATGACTTTGGATATCAGAATTATGTGGCCCCCAACGAGTGTGTTATGCTGCAGATCAGGGCGTAAGGTTGAAATCGGCTTCCCCAGGCCCAGGGTGAGAGATCTTAGCAGATCTCAGTGGGGGAGCAGCAATGGACTAGGTCAGAACTGAGGTGCCCTGGCAGAGACACCTTGGGAAGAGGCTATTATGGCAGCTTGGCTAGCACTTATTCCAGGCACTAACGTCTGCCTTCAGTTCAACCAGCATCGCTTTGCCAATCTGCTGTTACAAAGACGAAAGCCACTGATTCGCTGTCAAGCAATGTCAGTCTGCAGGAGGCCCTTCCTGAGCGGGATTTCCCACCGGGAATATTCCATCTCCCCCTGCTGTCGTGGCCTAGGCCTGCAGAGCCAGCAGCAGCCCAGCCTCTCCAGGGCTAGCTGTACAAAGTGCCCGGGGTACTGTCTGAGTGAGGAATGCCACTGCAAAATAGGGACCCGCTCCTGACTGACCTCAATGGGACTAGCTGGGTGAGGAGGGATGACTGCTGGGAGCCAGGCTGGTGGGCCGACTCGTTGGCCTGCATCCTAGACATTTGAAAAAGCATCATGAAAATGCTCCACAGGTCGCTGCACACTGCCGTTCCACGCAGCCTGGGCCCGTCGCGACGTGGGGTGAAGGGCTGTGACTCATATGTAAACCAGCACAGGGCCACACAGTGACGTCAAGCTACTGGCTGTGTGCCCAACATGGAAGGCATGGTACGGCCAAAGGGCTCTGCTATGCCAGTGTGTGTATGCCAGCCCAACACACCACTCCTCACTGATCCCGCCTCGCCCTGGTTGAGCCAAGTCTGAGTAGACTCATTGTTCTCCTGCCGGAAGGGAAATCCCAGGACTACTTACCACGCCTATGGAGAAATAGTTGTTGATGATGCTGTACGGGACAGGGTCTCCGTTCTCCTCCTTGTCTGTGGGGATCACGTCAATCCGCCACCGGTCCAACATGACCTCGATGCTGTGTTCAATGTCCTTCAGCACCTTCAGCAGGCTGCCCCCTTCATAACCTTGGGAGGGACAAAGGATTGGATCACTGTTAGCACAAGAGAGATGCTCAGAGCAGCACAGTGACTGCCAACGGGACACATGGCAGTGCCACTTGGAGTCATGTGACGAGAGGGTTAACCGGGGCAGATCGCTAGTGTACACTTCCGCTGGCAATAGGTGGGACACACAGCCCAGTGCCATGCTGAGTTGGCAGGGGTCAATGGCGGCACCTGGGGCATGCTAAAGCCTGGTCATCTGTAGTACAGAGACTTGCTCATGGCTGGTAGGGTGCAGCAGCGACCAAGGCTGGTGTTGTCAGCAAACAGGGCCCAGCACTGCAATGGCAGATCAGGCTGCGAGGGCCTGACAACAACCGACAGGGTTGCTGGGAGGGACTCAGCAGGACCTGGGATCAGGGCAAAAAGGGGGAAGTTTGTGGGGTAACTGGCAGTGGGCAGGACTCAGCAGTTGTGGGGTCACTGGAAGTTCCATAGATGTTTCCCTGACCAAGGATCAAACCCAGGCCTCAGTGGGGAAGGCACCAAATTCTGACCACTAGACCATCAGGGAGACACCACACGCTGCTCAGCAGTGACTAGGGTCAGGATCGGGCCTGTGGGGTCAGGGCAGAGATGGGTCAGGTCTGGGGGATCACTGGCAGAGATGGGTCAGGTCTGCAGGGTCAAGGCTGTGGGGTCAGGGCAGAGATGGGTTGGGTCTGGGGGGTCATTGACAGAGATGGGTTGGGTCTGGAGGGTCAAGGCTGAAGGGTTAGGGCAGAGATGGTTCAGTTCTGGGGGGGCCAGGGCAGAGCTGGGTCAGGTCTGGAGAGCAAAGGCAGAGCCAGGTCAGATTTGGGGGGCCAGGGCAGAGCCGTGTTGGGTCTGGGGGGCCAGGGCAGAGCCGTGTCAGGTTCGTGGTGCAGTGGATGGGTCCCAGCAGGGTGCAGAGCTGAGAAGAGAGTAAACAGGACCATCCCTCCCTCCCCCCATGGAGTGCCATCACAGTTGCTGGAGGCGAGCGCTGCAGAGTGGGAGGAGGCTTTGCAAAGATTAGCTCCAGGTGGGAATAAATCCACTCACAGGAGTTCCCGGGCAAGCGGCAGAGCCCACCTGGACTCCCAGGGTTTTGGGGTTGGCCCCTCTCCATCTTGTTAGAACGGCATCCTATTCACTGGGCCCAGGGCTGCCTATACACAGCAAAGAACACAGGCAATTCACATGGGCCATTGGGCCCTGTCCAGATTCACTGCCCAGGTTGCAGAGCCAGCTCTCTGGAACTGCAGGAGCAAGAGCTGCAAGTCTAGCTGGGAGCAAAGATGCGGCTGTTCCTAGCCCATGTCGAGTAACAACCAGGCCAGCAGCCCACACGGGTGGCCACAGCGCCCACTCTCTGCTGAGGCTCTTCTCCAGGGCCCATCACCAGGGTATCCGAGAGCCTCCCACTGTCCCTTGGCCACAGGATGGGGACTGTGTGTGTGAACATCCTGCCTCTCCTCTGGTCTTAGTGCCTGTTGCTGTTGTTGCGGGAAGGCAAATTGCCAGGCTGGTATTTTGCTCAGAAGGCGGGGAGGCCTGGGGATCATTCTCACCTCCTCCAGCAGGACGTGCCATAGCCTCGGACCAGCTGCCAAGACAGCTCTCCTCTGCTGGCATGAGGCTGTGTCCGGGGGCTGCTCAGATCAGCGCTGCCGTGGATGTAACTGCTGGCGGAGCTCTCGGCCCCTTAGCAAGCCCTGCTCGTGGAGGTAACTCAGCCCAGTGGCACACCAGTGGGAACCCTGATCTCGAGGTGGATCTGCTGTTCTGCGGGGAGCTGGCGGCATGGGCGGAGCATGAGGTGGGGCCGGATGGCTGCTGGGTTCTGGCCCAGCTGATGTCAACGTCCACATTCCCAGCCCAGCCCAAAGCCAGCAATCCAGCACTGAACCATGAGGGCCTTGTCTCTGACCACGGCCCAGCATTCGGGGGCGCAGTCTTCATGCCAGCAGCAAGTGACAGGCTATTTTGGCAGCAGGAGCTATCTGCATGTCCAGAAGCCGCGAGGGATAGTGACCAACTCCCGGCTCTGGACCGAGGAGACTACGGGAGCGCAGACTCCCTTGAGATCAGGAGCCGTTGTGGGGTGACCTGCTCTTCACACCTCTCCCCCTTTCTGCCAGGGCCACCTCTGTCTTGCTCAGGTTTAGCTCCCATCACCTGCTTCTCTGCCACATGCCAGGGACCAAGCTAGCTGGGTGATGGGCTGCAGGAGGGGCTGAGTTAGAGCCAGGTCAGTGTCCTCGAGCTCTGAGCCCGACCCACAAGGATCTCTCCTGTGCAGGGCTTACTGGCCGACCCCGTGGGGATACGTGGGCTGGGGTCAGTGGTTTCGAAAGCTGCAGGAATCGGGAGCTGGAGTTGTTTTCTGTGGGGGTGTGACTTGTTAAGTGACTTTCCCACTCTGTCGTGCACGGTGATCAGGAGAGGCTGGTGGCCACAGGATCCCCTGGCTCAGATGCACACACATGGGAACCCAAGAGGGAGGGAGCAAAGAGCAGATGAAGTGGTGGTGGAAACCCCAACTTGTGCAGTGGCAAGCTGTCCTGGTCAGGGAGAGTTGGCCTGGCCCAGGGTGTGGGGAAGTTCAGAGCCAAAACGGAGTGTAAACACCCTGCTGTACTAGATCAGGGTGCTCCTGGAGAGGCGAGAGACAGCCGACTTCGGTTAGGGCTGAACCCAAACTGGGCCATCCAGCGCATCACACGCTCCACAGGGCTCCATTTCCCGGCAGGGCATTTGCTGTTTCTCTGGCGCTCCAGTGTGGGAAGGGCTCAGTGTCTGCTGCAGTGCTGCCAGGCAGGAAAATCATTCAGCTTCGTGGGGGATTTCGGTGCGACACCCCAGGCCTCGCCCCCCGGAGGCTCAGTCCAGTGCTCATGGGCGCCCTGTGATTCCAGGCAGAGAGAGCAGCGAGCCACCCAGCAAGGCACTGGATCGGGGGAGTCCAGAGGGGACTGGATGGGAGGCAGAGAAGAGCCAGAAAAGAGCCTGGGACGCCCACCACAGCCAGGCCACTCTGGGATTTGGAAGACTAGAAGCCTAAGAAAAATCTGTCTTTCCAGTCAGAGCCTTTCCAATCCCACAGAGTGACGACTGGATTAGAGCAGCACCTAACGTGACGTGCTGTCAGGGGTCGGGGTGGGTGGGGAGAGAGAGGCTCAGTGCGCTAGATGCTGTATGTACATTCAGCAAGAGGCCGTCCCAGCCCCAAAGAGATCACAGCCCAAGCTGGCAAGACCAAGGGGGGAGAAAAGAATTGTCCCCCTGCTGTACAGATGGGAGGGACTGAGGCCCAGAGTGACTCGCCTGATGTCACCCAGGGATGGAGCTGGGAATTGAACCTGGACTGCCTAACTCCCCAGCCAGGGTCTAACACAAGCCCAGAAGAACTGGAAGTTGGAGAAGGAAGAGCTGGGTTGTCAGAGTCTGAACGGTCTCTCCTCTATACTCTGCTCTCCCTGCTCAGAAGGACCGGGGAGCTAAGTGACAAGAACACAGCTACCACTAACTGCTCGGTGGAGACGCAGATGCAGACAGGTTAGCTTTGCAAACAATCAGGTAGAGAGGCCAATGCAGATGTATCACTTAATAACCCACAAAAATGGAGCCCACGTGACAAGGGCCTGTCACACTCTCTCACACACGCAGCCGGTTGCTGTACTTGTATGTGTGCCTCGCTCCCCCATCCCCTGGGCTGGCTTGTCTTCTCAGGCCTGCTCTGTGCACACACTTGTGCTGGTTTAACTAAAAGTGGGTTATGGAGCCATTGCAGCCCACCATGTAGACACTCTGATTTCTGTTTATATCTATGCAGCTGAACTCAGCTCCTTACCAGCTAAGCTACGCCGAAATTAGCGCACCCACCCGGGGCTTTGCACCTGTTTAACTACAGCAGTTTTGAAACTGACCAAAGTTAATCTGGCGCAACTCTCCTGTGTAAACAAGGCCCCAGAGCACAGCCTCTTCAGAGCAGGGACTGTGCCTGTGCAGAAACCACCGACTGCACTTGAGTGCAACAGCAGGCTAGCTAGGTGGAGTGAGGCGCTGGATGAAAGCACCATTGCTGTAAGAGATTTCCATTCTAACCGGGACCCTGTAGCTTGCTCCATGGACTCCCATGCCCAGGCGATGCTCTGTGAGGGTGCTGGGGTCTGCTGGCTGGGAGCATGTTACAGGATCGGGGCCTCAGCTGGGGTTTCATTTCTCCTTTGCTGGCATTCTGATGAAGCATCTGATAAACCATCCCCACATACCTACAGAAAGCCAATTCTCAGGCTATTTCAGGGGGATGATGTGGGGGATTGGAACCAAAACTGTGCCATGAAACGTGACTCTTGCAGCAGTGACGGAGAGAACTCCTTGTTATTATTCCCTATTTATAGAAATAGCAGCTCTGGTGTACGTGGTACGCATGAGAGGAGAATAAGATAAGGTCCCAAGGAGCTCCCCCATCCCAGTTAGAGAAGTGACATACTGCGAAATGACAATTCCTAGCTCTTCTATGAGGTAGATCTCAAAGCGCTTTACAAAGGAAGTCAGTGCAGATGGAGAAACTGAGGAACAGAGCATTAAGTGGCCTGCATAAGGTCACCCTGCAGCAAAGCCAAGAATAGAACCCAAGGGTCCCAGTCCAGTGCTCTATCCACTAGGCCACACCCTCCCCCAAGGGTAGATGGAGGAGAAGCCCCTCACACCCCATAAGAATTTGAATCTTTTGCCTGGGCTGCCCAGCAGATCAGCTGTGTGTCTAGGAAAGCAGAGGGGTGACTCACCAGGGTACATTTTCAGCCTGATGCAGCTGAATTTGCTATGTTCACTAGCATTAACAGCAAGTCCTCGTGCACCTGGACGGCAAGCACGGTGGTGAGTTTGCGCCATGTGTCCACACATCCCGAGAAGGGACAGTTTGCCCCCCGGATGTACAGCATGTGCCTACAAAGGCAGCTTGGAAGTGTGTTCTGTGGTGCTTGGAGCGGAGTGGGCCAGCTGGCCAAGTCAGGAAGCCTCACCTCCTCCCCAGCGCAGACATCTGGCCAGGTCGTTGCCGGTTCCCAGTGGCAGGACAGCCACAGGGGGGTGCTTCAGCAAGTTCGCCTTGTCTGCAATGCAAAGAGAGAAGGCTGTTAGCACAGACACAAGCCAGCAGCCTCTCGGCTAAGTCCCTGTCCTATTATCCACAATGCAGGGGCTCCTGGGAAAGTGCAAAGAGCTGAAAACCAGACTCATCCTTTCTGGGAAAAAACAGAGTGATTCTGCTTCTTTGTGGCACTGCAGATTCCAGGGAGAGCCTGTGCCAGCGTGGAAATGGGGCAAATGCATGTGGAAGCATGAGCATACCCGGGTAGCTAGCAAGTGTCCTCTACCCCTGGCGATTCCATCCACAAGAGAGCAGCTCGCAGGCAGGAGCCAGTGTCTGATAGCTCAGCCTGCTTGCCAGGAGCTGCCAGAAGATGCCATTGGTAGGCGCCTCCTAACACGGGGCAGCAATAGCAGCTCAGAGGGATGTCTTCAGAAGAGAGCTCTGCACATCAGGGAGAAGCCGTGTGCCCCGGTGTGGCGGGCGGGCCACGGGGCAGAGTGTGGAGAAGGGTTCGACCCGAAGAGCCATGGGAGCATAGAGGAGCAGAGGGGAGGCTGCAGAACATGACAGGGACAGACAAAGCCAGAGGGTTGGCAGTGAGCAGGGCTGCAGTGGAAGATAAACCAGACAGCAGGAGGCAGGCACTTTCCCAGCACTGGGGAAGGCTTGGAGGCAGCAGGAAACCAGCACCAAGTCAGGCAGGAGAGAAGAGAGCTAGGGCAGAATGGGGACCTGCTGCCCCTTAGCCTATTTTCTGGGAACGTGCAGGTCTGCTCCCACCACAGGGAGTCAGACCAGCGAGCTCCATCACAGCGTCTTATCCAGGTTACAAGCGCGGCTGCTCCATGGTGCAGCAGCTTACAGAGCTCCTTAGCTCAGGTCTCTTGGGCACATACACAGTGCACCTGTGATCCCGAGTTACCTATGCAGTCCAGGATCCAGCCAACAGTCCCATCCCCGCCGCATGCCAGGACACGAAAGTCTGGGGCGTCACGGAAAAAATTCAACCTGGAAAGTGGAAGCACAAGGAGGGAGAGTCGGGTGATCACAGGGGATGGCTTATTGCTGGCAGGGGGGTGGGAGAGGATGACAGAGGCAGGGAAAGGTAAGGATGGGGTGTGGGGACGTGGGTTGTCTATCATCTCCATACCCAGGAGTCGGTCCCCCTCGGTCCAGGTTGTACACTTGTCTGGGGTTGAGCAGATAGTGGAATTTCCGAAGGACTCTGTGGAAATAGAGGGCGAGTGAGAGACGGAAACAGAAGGAAACTATCCCTGGAAACAAAGGAGAGCCATGCAAATGGGCTGTCTGGCCTAGAGGATGCGGACAGGGAATCCACCCACAGGGCAAGGCTGGCACGGGGCAGATCCCATTGCAGAAACCCTGGCCAGAGCCTGGCATCAGGAGGGGCTGCTGTTGCTTACTCTCCATCTTTGCTCATTATGTGGGGCTCCTAGCAACACACAGAGAGGAAGAAAAGTCAGCAGCAATAGCTCAGTGCCCCAGGGAGCCGGGCATCCCGAGCACTCCCCACTGTACAGCGACTTTCACCCAAACATCTCGTGGCTGGCAGGTGAAGGACAGCCCCGACTAGCTCCAGCTCACCCATATCGTGGAAGGACTGGCATGGTTAGTAACAGGGCCCCCAGTCTGCCCCAGGGCACCTGTGCAGATTGCCTCTGTCCCAAGCAGCTCCCCTCATCGCTACCTGCCCCCAAGCTCCCCAGATCCATAGGCCTGACTGGGGAGGGAGCAAATGCTCAGCCAGTGCCTCCGGGGAGCAGAGAACGTACCTTTCTCCTTGTCTCCCTCCACTCTTGGGATTCACGAACACCAGCAGAGGGTGGGTCCCGGGCCTGGGGGTGATCTGAAATGCAAAGAGCAGAACACGGCCCGCCCGTGAGACATGTATGAAAACCCCTCATCCATGGGCGGGGGGGGAGGGGGGAGGAATGGGTGGAGCCTCGGATGAGCTTGAGTCATGAGGCCCTGCTGCAAGACGGGATGGTCCATGCTCTCAGTAAGGGAGGAGAGAACCCCACACGGAGGAAGGCACCAGCGAGGGACACTGAGCGCAGGCTCCACACCATGGCTCCACGCCCAGTGGGGAACTGCCCAGCGGATAATGGGGGACACAACAGGGCAGAGCCATGTGGCTGCTCAGCTCTGCCTGCCGATATTTTCATCATTAACGATGTGCGTCATGATACAGGCCCCAGGCCCATTGCACCAGGTGCTGTCCAAACACAGAACAAAGAGACGGTCCCTGCCTGCAGTCTATATTACAGATGGATGCAAGAGACGGACGGGGAGCACTGGGAAACAGTGAGATGATACTAGCACCATAAACTGATCGTTCACTGGCGTTTCTGAAGCTGCTCCTCAGAAACAACAGGCTACACAAGGGAGAAATAAAGGCCATTGTGGGGAAAGGATCGTAGGGTCATTGACACGCCAGGACAGACTGTCCCAGAGTTCATTCCAATACCCGGAAGTCAGTAGACACAAGCAGAGCTGGCCAGCAGGGGTAACGTGACCCCAGCCAGCCATCAGAGTGCATGAATAGTCTAGCTCCCTGTCAGACCCTCATCCCCTGCTGGCCTGGGCCTGAGACTTCAGCATCCTGCCCCTGGATTTCTCACTCCCAGGCCAGCATCTGAGCCTTCTGGAGACCGAGGCAGCTCAGAGCCACCTACCTGCAGGCCGTGCCCGTCCAGTGTGGTGGTATTGAATTTGGTCTGGGCGGTGTCGTCTGGACAGGTGCTGGCAGGGGAATCGCTGTCTGATTTCCTGTGGTGGGACTGCCTGTCCTTTTAGAAGGAAAAAGATGCACGGAATCTAACACACGAACAAAGAGCGGGGCTAAGAAGGGGCATTTGTTTGTCAGACTCCAGCTTCCAGGATTGGTCTGGCAGAAACAAGTCCCCATGGGGGCAGGAGGGGCTGACGGCCCTGCAGTTTCCATGACAGTGGCCATAGCGTAGGCACAGGCCCAAACACCCTGACTGAGAGCCAAGTCACAGTCACTCAAAGACCTGGAAATCACATGCGAAGGCAACAGCCACACCCAGCACAACCGCAGCCTGCAAGCATTGCCCCCCAGCATCCACACTGAAGGACGGGAGATGCCTCTGCATGGCACAGCCTGAGCTGTGATCTGCTGGTTTCTTCCATAGGCCCAGTTACAGCCTGCTATATGGTGGGGGAAGACATCTGTGTGTACATGGTTATAATAGGCCAAGCGCCTGGGCCATGGTGGCCCTGCCCCTTCCCCTCCCTCCTGGGAGTGGGCTTCTGCTGAAAGTTTATGCTTATTTATTATGTGCCATGCAGGTGCCCATGCGGCTGAGGAGACGGTATCTGCTACTCAGCTTCCCGGGTCCCTTGGACTCCCCAGGGAGATTATCGATGAACCTGGAAGCTGAGAGGCAGATACTGCCTCCTCCGCCACCCCGGAACCTACATGGCCCATATAAAAGCTCAGTGTTCTCCGCCAGCCACTGCCTGGCTGCTCCTCTCCAGCACTCCACCCCCCACCCCAGAGGTCCCCGCCGCCGCTCGCTGGTTCCTCCTCTCCTTCCCGCTTGGTCCCCCTGCCGCCGCCTCCCTCCTGAGTGGGGGGGAGGGAGAGAGGAGGGATGCACACTTTGAGCAGCGGTGGTGGTGGGGGGCTGAACAGGGAGGAGGAGGGAAGGAGAGGAGAGACACACGCAGCAAATGGGGCTGAGCAGGGGAAGGGGAGGGGCCTGGGGTAGAGCAGGGATGGGACTTGGGGTACAGTGTGGACAGTGTTGTGGAAGGAAGAGGTGGGGGATGGGGAGCTAGCCTCCCCGAGGGGAAGCTTCACCTGCCATCTATGTGTGTGTGGTTTTGCTGGGCGGCGTGCACTGCAAAGCTGAGCCGATCTTTTGAAAGCCACAGTGTAATTGGACAGAAGAGGTTTCTTTGTGTTCAGTAAGGCCAGGGATGTTGTGGGTGTGAGGAGATGTGCACTCTTTACCCATCCGGCGCATGGCAGGATAGCATTTTCATGATATTTGCAGTCACAACCTTGCAAATTAAAGAAGCAAGGGGCGGTCAGAGTTAAGTTGTGCCTTGTGGTTCCTTGAGAGGTGCCCTGCGGGCGGCATCGTGTCTGTTGCTAGAGGAGTGAGCATGCTGCAGGGCTGCGATGCTACTGGGCTGATGCAGGTCTACTGGTATCGGGCTGGGCTGACTGCTGCCTTGCCTTGGGATTGCCTTGCTCCGCAGGGCTTGAAGGGTGGAGCCATGCACTCAAGCAGACGTAGCTTTGAGTTCCCACAGGTTTCTGGGGGGGACATTGAAGAGGGCATGTGCATGCCCGTGCCCCTCACTGCCGTACGGGCCGGAAGAGACAGACATACCAGAACCACTGGGCAGATGTCAGAAGGCAGCAAGATGTGGTCCTTGAGCTGCCCCCCGTCACACTCTGGCTTCACGTGGGAGGCACATTTGTTGTGAAGCTGGGAAGAGAGAGGAAGGCACGTGAGAGCGTGACCGCCTCCCCTCCCCACCCCTTCCCTCTGGGCAACTGGCCTCCTGGCTCTGGCTCTCCAACCCTTTGAGCTGACAGCATTATGCATGGAAGCCCCAAGCACTACAGACCAGAGAGCCCTGGCACTGTAATATGGGCTGAAGCAGGGGGAGCAGAGTTCAGCTGAGGGGTTTTCTACCCCCATGACAATCGCTCTCTGCATTAGCTCTCCCCACTTCCCTGCTTCCTGGAATCCCCTCGTCTTATTCTGTCCCTGCTTGTTTCCACCCTCTTCCCGTTGCCCTTATTGCGTCCCCCCCTTCACCGGGATCTCAAGGGAAGAGGGCTCAGGGCTGCTTTACTACACGTCACAGTTTTGAACAATATTTTGTCCGGTGCCATTTTTGGGGGAAGGGATCTCCGGAACGTGCCATTGCAGGAGAACTGAGACAGAGTTTTTCCGCTTGCCAGCTGCCCTCCTTGGCTCAGGTCAGTTTCCCCACAGGCGGAGCATGAAACTAACAAGAGCCTTCCTGGCCTCATTCGAATTTCTGCCATGGAACATGGATTTTGCCGCAAGGGGCATCGTGCCGATGGAAGGGTCGTGATCTGCTCCACCCCTAAGTGCCACTGTGGCGGGGAAAGTGATGTGTTGTGGGTTCCTGCAGCACAATGCCTGAGCTGTCAAATCCTCGGCCCGGCGCTAGGGAGTGCCAGGGTGACTGTCCCTCCCCGGGCCGCCTCTCAGATCTCATCTCTAACCCAAAGGAAGAGACGGTTAAAGTGGGCTGGGAAACCAACTGAGGCTTCTCCAGGCCTGCCACAGCCTTTCCCTCCCACTGGCAGAGGCCATTGCCTGTATTTGTCATGCTGGCACAATGGGCCATGGGACTTGTCAGACCCTGTGGGAGTGCCGCCGGGGCAGTAGAAGAGCTTGGGGAATCCAGTTCTCCTGGAGAGCTGGCACCATTCTCCTCCCCCTCGCAGAGCCTGTACATTGGGCCACCTGTTTCGGCTGCAGAGTGAGCCCAGTGCTGATGGCAGTTGCTCAGTCACAGCCTGAAAAGACACAAGCTTCCCCTGCAGCCCCTGCTGGCAGACCTGGACCCAGATATAGTGGGGTCACAGGTAGGTCATTCATTTTTCACACCGAGCCAGCCGCTGGCTTCTCAGTGGAGACCCTCAGCACTCACGGTGACAGCAATTCATAGGAGGGCTCACAAGGAACGGGGTGGGCACCAGCTCATTTCACACAGGCCAGCAGCTCTCCTTCTACTTGCCAGGCGGTAATGGGCTTTTGAACACTCCTGACATGGGCTGGTAACCTAGGAGCAAACAGTTTTGTGTATCCTACCCCACCCGGGGCCATTCAGTCTCCCTGACATCCCTGCACAGCGTCCCCTCCACGTACTCACTGTGATTTGACACCATGCACAGTGTAGCCCGGTAATACCCTGGTAGCACTTGATGCTTTTGTGGCACCTGTCACACTTGACAGGGGAGTTCCCCTCGATCCAGGTGTGCTGCATGACCTGAAAGAACAGGCGAGAAATGAAAGAGAGACGGCGCCATCTGGGCCAGCATTGAAACCCAGAGGCTAACCGGCAATGGGAATTGGGCACACAGGGAATCTGTTGAGTCAAAGGTCTCTCAGGAGACCCTGGATAAACAGGGGTCTGGACTGCCACTGCTCTGTTCCCTTGGACACTGGCCTGCTTTGCACACCAGACAACGGCAAAGAGGCCCAAGCACCAGCTGGCGCTGTCCTGTTAAAAAGAGCTGCTCTGCGAAGTTCTCTGACATCTCTCTTTGCCCTGTTCTGCGGGGGTAACTGGATGTAGGCTGTTCCTGTATGGCCAGCCAGCCACGGGGAAGGCTGCCAGCCCCATCCTCTGCTGCTCCCCCTCCTTGGGAGAGCCAGCGCTATGATAGCTTTGGGGAGCCTGGCACGTAGAGCAAACCATGGGAACCTAAGTGATCTGCAGGTTAATGGGAAGGGGTGGTTATGTGGGGGGGAACTGGCCCCATCCTCACTGTCCCCAGTATCCATTCTGGTGGAGCTTTGGTCCACTCCCAGCTGGATCTCAGATGAGTCCATTGGCCAATAGTCTGCTAACCCCCCAGCTAAGGTAGAGCGGGGCTTCTAAAGCTTCACTCATCTCCCCTGCTGAACGCAGGTACACAGTTGAGCTGCCAGCCACTCTCACAGGGAAATCCCATGGCTCTCTCCAATAACAGAACATCCTGCATGGGCGTTAGCAGAGCTGGAAGGGAAACCAGTCAGCACTCGTGCACACACATGCTACTCACATTGGTGTTCCTCTTGGATTTCACGTATGTGCTGATGCACGAGGCAATCTCTTTGGACACACACCGTTCATGGACGGTATATTTACAAACTGCAGCAGAAAGGGGAAAAGAAGTCAGCTGTGTCCCCTCGGTACATGCACGCTGCATCCACTTCAGAGCCACCCCAGGATACAGACAAGAGCCAGAGCTCCCATGCATCCAGGTGATGTGTTGCGTTGGCCAGAACCAGAGTCAGAGCAGGGAGGGAAGTAGTGGGAGCTACCCACCACCTCGCTGCCATGTGAAGGGGTGGGCTGCCTGCTAGCTTATGAAACAGAATGGGCCAGAGCCTGCAGGTTTCCAGCAGCACATGCTGGGTAAGACTGAGCACCTTCAAACTCCACTGACGTCCAGGGGGAGCTAGGCACTCACTGCCTCCCAGGCACTGCTCCGCAGTTGCAGGCTCAAGCCTCTACCATCGAATTAACAGGAGAGCAGGAAGCCTGGAGGAAGATGCTGCAGGGAGGGGAGAGCAGCACCCCCTGCTGGCAGAGATGAGTGATGGGCACCGTATAACTGTCTAGGGAGCTGGGGTATCGAGCCTGACCATGAGCACTTTGGAGGACCCAGCGGAACTCAGCAGCTGCGAGGAGAACAGGACCCCAGTGTAGCGGTTATCTAGGCCCTGGACCTTGGGAAGAGGGGTGCCTTACTGGGAAGGAGGGATTGTTTGCCTGGCTGAGTGTTAATGTTGACACTCCATTCTCAGCTCTCCCCGGTTGGGGCAGGACACTCCAGGCAGGGGAGAAAGACCTGGACTAGGGGAAGGTTTTACATTACTTGGGCAAAGCCGGGTGAGTTAGGGATCGAGGTTCAGACTAATCTCTGAATTTCCCAGCCTTTGGAGACTGCAGTCAAACATGTCAAGTTACCCAAATGAAGCTTTTGTTGTTAAGGATAGGAAAGCAAGAAAGGGCCAGAGCCCCGTTATCCGGAGCTGGGGTTCCGGCTGCGGCCCCGTTATCTGGGGCCAGGGTTATAGACTCATAGACTTTAAGACCAAAAGGGACTATAGTGATTTAGTCTGGCCTCCTGCACATCGCAGGCCACAGAACCTCACCCTCCCACTCCTACAATAGGCTTGCTTTCCTCGGATGCTTGTGGCACCCAAAGCATCCTGAAAGAAATGGACAAGGGCTGTGCTGCAAATCAAGGGCAGGGGTTGAACGCTGGTCAGTGTGCTGCAGTGCCACAGGCCATACATGGGGCACAGAGGGCTAGGAGAGCAGGACTCACAGGAGCAGCACAAGCCCTGTTTCCGGACCCCCAACAGCATGGTGCGACAGAAGTTGCAGTAGGCAGGTTTCTTGAAGTGCTTCAGTCTCCAGGCATGCTGCCCGTCATCCTTCACATTCTGCAGGCAAAGCACAGCGGGAGTTAGGGAGAGGCACAATGGGGGTCCGGGGTAGATGGGGCAGCAATTCGCTGACACCAGGGACTGTTCAAGGTCCATTCTGGAGAAGGCGGCTGATCTGCTTGTGCTTTTCCACTGTGTGTTTAAGGACAATAGCGAGTCATTTGGGTAGCTTTACCCATTTCTCTCCATTGCTCATAAAAGCTCCCTAGAGTCAAACACTGACAAACAAAGTCCCCCTCCCCCGACTTCTTCCCATTAGCAAACTGTGAGGGTGTCTCTAGCAGGGTCCCACAGGGGTCAGTCCCGTATCCGGTACTAGACCATATTTTCATTAATGACTCAGATAATGGAGCGGAGAGTATATTTATACAATTTGCGGAGCTGGGAGGGGCTGCCAGCATTTTGGGGGACAGGACTAGAATTCAAAATGACCTTGCCAAATTTGAGAATTGGTCTGAATTCACCAAGATGAAATTCAATAAAGACGAGTGCAAAGTACTTCACTTAGGAAGGAAATATCAAATGCACAACTGCAAACTGGGGAATAACTGGGTAGGTGATAGTACTGCTGAAGAGGACTGGGGGTAATAGTGGATCACAAATTGAATATGAGTCAACAATGGGATGCAGTTGCAAGAAAAGTGAATATCATTCTGAGTTGTATTAACAGCAGTGTCGTATGGAAGCCATGGGAGGTAATTGTCCCACTCTACTCGGCACTGGGGAGGGCTCAGCTGTGTCCAATTCTGGGTGTCTCACACTAGGAAAAATGAGGACAAACTGGAGAGAGTCAAGAGGAGAGCAACAAAAATGATAAAAGGTTTAGAAAACCTGACTGATGAGGAAAGGCAAAAAAACTGGGCACGTTTAGTCTTGAGAAGAGAAGACAGAGGGGGGACCTGATAACAATCTTCAAATATGCTAAGGGCCATTATAAAGAAGATGGTGATCAACTGTTCTCCATTTTCTCTGAAGGGAGGACAAGAAGCAATGAGATTAATCTGGAGCAAGGGAGATTTAGTTTAGCGATTAGGAAAAACTTTCTAATTATAATGTAGTTAACTCTGGAACAGCCTTCCAGCGGAGGTAGTGGAATTGCCTGTCTGCTGGGGAACTCGGAAATCCCTGAAGATAAGGTTGTCCCTTTGGGTATGTCTACACTGGAGCTGGAGGTATCATTTCCAGCTCGAGTAGACATACCTGCTCTGGCTCTGACCAAGCTAGCGTGCTAAAAATAGAAATATCACTGCAGCAATATAAAGAGTGGGATGGGACAACCACCCAAGTCTGTGCCTCGGGTTTCAGACAGGATCATACTTGGGGTGACTAACCCATCCAGCTGCTCATGTTGCTGCGGCTACACTTCTATTTTTAGCATGCTAGCTCTATGAGCTGGAAATCACACCTCCCGTGTAGACGTACCCATAGTGTGCCAGGCAAAGAGATGTACAGGTTAAACCATTACATAGAATATGCTTCACATCTAGCTTTCTGGTTTGCTAGATCCTCCTGAACAGGTGGAAATACGGCAGCTTGGTACCCACATACATGGACACGTTCCTTATTAAAGATAGCTTGGGGGAAGACCACGCTATAAACAAATACAAAACCATCCGGCACTATTCAACCTTCTTCCAATATTAGGCGGATAAGAACACTCTGAACCAACAGCCCCATGATGCTGGCTGACATCTCTTATTTTCTGGGACTGTAAAGGCCATCATTTCTGTACTGAAGAATCCTAGCTCGCTTCCGTATAAACAGTGGGGCTCCAGTCATCCAGCGATCTAGAGAGGAATTTCCCAGATAGATAGTCTCTCTCTCAATCTCACACACACTTGAGTTTAACAAATAATTCATTTCACTCATTTTGCCTCTTTCTGTTTACCAGCTGCCCACAAGTAGCTTACAATTGATTCCAATGTATTTGCTATGCAAAGTCATTTGCTGAACAATTAAAGCAAATCCCTGCTCAGCCTGTGCCCAGTTTGTTCAACCTTCAAGCTGTGCTGATTCTAGAGAGATTACACACGATACGTTTGTGTTCCCTGATTGGATGAGCACAGCTCTTCGGCTCATGTTTAAGGCACAAGCACTTTCCAATAGTCTTAAAGTTCCCTGTTCCCTTCAACATTCCTGCCAGTCAGTTTGTTCGCTAGCTTATCTGGGGAGGTCAAACACAAGAAGGGGCACAAACACAGCTGCAGTGAATGCGTTTCACATTTCAAATGACTACGGACAGCAAATTTTACTGGGATGAATTCAGGCCTAATATACACTTTAAATATAAAGAACTTCATCAGAATGAATAATTAACCATCTGGAAGTCAGGAAATACCTTAACTCCGTCCCTTGTACTTCATCACACAGTGAATCAGTCCCATAGCAGACACGGGGCTATCATCTAGTATTTGACTTACTCTTCACATTTTTGAAATGATTAATAATAAAAAAAACTCTTCCACATGCCAAACAACAAGCCTGGTGTGCTTGAGATCCCAAATCGCTGAGACAAGAGAGAGACTGAAATCTTAGGTGGGAACCAGGGGTGCTGGAAGGGAGGAGGAGGGAACCATGGCAGTAAGGGTGAGCAACAGGAGGAAGGGGAGAGGTCTTGGTGGGGGGGGAGAGGTGGCATGGGGCAGGGTCTCGGGGGAAGGGGCAATGCTAGGGCAGTGCCTCAGGAGGAAGGGGTGGTGTGGGGGCAGGGCCTCGAGGAGGGGCAGTGTGAGGCGGTGGGGCCACGGTTCTGGGTGCCGATGGGTCCCCCACTGTTAGGAAGCTTCTGCTGCCCCTGGTGGGAACACCTTTTAACAGTCAGCCAAAAGCCCTTTTCTCTTTCAAGATCTAAAATCTCTGTCCTCAGGTAGGGTTACCATATTTTAATTTTTAAAAAGAAGGACACTCCATGGGGCCCTGGCCTCGCCCCAACTCCACCCCTTCCCCGCCCCAGCCCCGCCCCAACTCTGCCCCCTCCCCTGAACGCTCCGCCCCCTGCTCCTCCCCCTCCCCTGCTTCCCGCGAATCAAATGTTCGCGGGAAGCCTGAAACAGGGAGGCAGCAGGTAAGCTGGGGCTGGGGCGGGGTGCAGCGCGGCTCAGTCCGGCCCCCTGGCTGAGTGGCTCCCTCCGGCGGCCGGCCCAGGCCAAGAGGCTCTGGCCCCCGGCGTCTCCCGTCCGGCTCGGGCCCTGGGGCGCTGTCCCCCACCCAAGTGCCCGCACCCCCGG